TGATGAGAACAGTGTAAATTTGTAAATTTGATTTTGAAAACAATGTAAATCTTGTATTTGTATTGATGAGAACAATGTTAATTTGTGCATTTAAAATTATTTGATTCTAGTTTTGTCTATATTTTGTTTCTGTGTAAAAAATGATACAGGACAGTCAAAATAAGCTTTAAAACAAATTATATATGGCAATAGATGATATTTAACCTCTCGGTTATTAACTAAAATAAACGTACCAACATAACTTATTACCTTGAATTTTAAATAAAACAGAGGGGTAAAGTGGTATGCGCTTCATAGTTTTGAAAATAAAAAAATGATGATGCTAAGGATCGAACCAATGGCCTTTTTCATTATAACCTCGGTTTTTAAATAATGGAGGGTTAACGTGGCTAATTTTCATGTCACCCTTCGTTACCTCGGTTGTGCAACCGAGGTAAAATCCATTCCACGTCTGAGGTGAGATATGTTATTTGTAGTAGTGATAATCTTTATTTTTTCCACGTTAACTAATATTATTCATTTTTTATAAACAAAGATAATATTAAAGAAGCACAAGAGGTGTTCAATTAAATACATAAGAAAACACTAAAAATTCCTTACAAAATAAGTCAAAGGATTAAAATAACAATCTGAAGGAAAAGAAAAAGACAATCATCCCACCCTTTATTCCTAGAGACAACCCAATCTCAAGAAATTAGTTTAACATGAGGCAACATTTTAGCCACATTCTTAAAGCCTCCATTAAAAAGTATTTTATTCTTACACAACAATAAAGACCAACAAACAATCATCCATAAAACAATAATAGTGCCATTTTTTAGTATGTCTTTAAGTTTCCTGCAAAATTCCTTGAAGAAATTTGCATTTTCACTCATACCATCAACAAGCATATGATAACATACTTTTACTAAAAATACCTTAAGATCTTTCCACCAGATTAATTTATATTCTTCTTCTTAATGCTTCAAGTCAACCTCCTGCAGAATAGTGTCTAAACCCTTCATCTGAACCCTTCCATCCTCTATCAGACTGTCCATACTTATATGCAAATCCCAAGACCACTTGTTACTACACCGCATTCCTATATCAATAACTTTTGCATTGGGCAGATCAATGCAACCAAAAAGTTCAAGATAAAGATTGCACATAGCCTCATTCCCAAGCCATATACACCTCTATAAGTAAATATTAGTATCACTCCCTAAATTTCCTCTTATATTCCTAAAAAACCAGTTTAATTCCTCTTAATGTGATGAACTTACAAGCTTCAAATATCTTCCCCATAAAGTTTCTTTCCTCTCACTCATTAATTTAATGTATTACAAACTTTTGCTTATAATATTTCCATACCTAAAAAACAATGGTCCTTTATAAATTTTCTCATCCTCATTGAGGATTCTCCACTTCCATTTACTCAAGAGTGACAAGTTAAAAATTCACAATTCTTAACACCTAACCCGCCTGTCTATTTGTTTTTCAAACATACTTTATTCTAACTCACCCAATTAATCCTTATCTTTCCTTCCACACCACCCTATAAAAAACCTCTTAGCATCTTTAATATCTCTGGTATTATCACCTTTGGAGCCTTGAAAAAAGAAATGTAGTAAATTGGAAAATTATTCAACACTGAGTTCATAAGTCACTACTACAAATAATACATTTCATAACAAAGCTTCCACCCCAGCTAATTAAAAATTGAGATCAAATACCTTGAAACACGGTATTTTAATTTTTATAAATATAACTTATTTATTCCTTCTATTTTAAAGTAAAACCGACAGGAAATGTAGCTCAGGGTTTGAGGTTCGATTTTCAGCTCCGGTAATTTCTTGTTTCATTTAGAACTAAAATAGCATCCTTATTTTATTTAATAATTTTAATTACAATATAAATAACCCCTTCCCTCGGTTATTGATAAAACCGAAAGGAAATGTAGCTCAGAGTTTGAGCTTGGATTCCCAACTCCTCTAGTTTCATCTTTTATTTACAGCTAAAATGGCGCCCTTATTTGATTTAATTTTTAATTACAATATAAATACTTTATTCGCTCGGTTGTTTAACAAGCCGATATTAAATGTTAGAACTGAAATTTTACCCCAGTATTTTCTACCAGCTGAGATATAATCTCTAAAAAATATTTTATTCCAACACCAAAATGTTGATTCTTATTCACTTTAGCATTACTCATTAACTTTTTGCGTTCTAGAGAATAATAGAAACACCATTCTTTATCTTCTCTGCATATCAAACAAAACACCATTCTTCATTTTCTCCAAGTCGAATGAAGTAAACAAAGAAGGAAGGAAGCTCGAATAAGGAAACTCGAACCTCAAACCAACACATTTATTTGACTATCTCATCACGTTTCCGGTATGTAAAAATTTCTCCAGGAATGTACCAATAATGTTTATGTTGTTGTCGTCGTTGTCGTTATTATTGTTGTTTTTGAGACTTAGGGGATAATGCTATGTTGTTTTTGTAGTATTTTTAGTTGTTGTGTTGAGATTGAACGTTTAGTGTTATTTTTGTTTTATTGAGATGGAATATTCATTGTTGTTGGTTGTGTACGATTTTGTATGTGTTTCATTGTATGCGCTTGAGATATTGAAGAAGTTTGAAATGAAGCATTGTAATGCTGTCATTACTTCAGCAAAATCAGGGTTATAGTTGTCAAAGAGTGAGGATGAGCGAGATGTCGATCTAACTCAGTATAGGAGACTGATTGGATCCTTGTGTTACTTGTGCAATGTGCGACCGAACTTAGCATTTAGTGTCAGTATTGTGAGTAAATTCATGGAGAGAACAAAGGTGTCTCACTTGGAAGCAACCAAGAGGATCCTAAGATACGTCAAAGGATCGATTGGTTGCGAATTCTCTTTCCCACAGCAGACAGGGGCAAAAAATGTATTTTGATCGATTTTACCGATTTCAATTGGTGTGGAGATAAAGATGATTGAAAGTCTACAACCAGCTACATCTTTATGTTCGGCATAACACTAATCTCATGGTGTTTGAAGAAGGAACCAGTAGTTACACTCCCGTCTTGTAAGGTCAAGTACATTGTCGATTCATTATGGGCGTGCCAAGCCGCATGACTAATGAATCTATTGAAGGATTTAGGCAGCAATTAGGGTGAGGCTTTTACACTCCTAGTTGATAACGTTTATGTGATTAATCGTGCTAAGAACCCAATTGCATAAGGGATGAGCAAGCACATTGAGATCACGTTTCACTATTTTAGGGAACTTGTTAGTGAAGGAAGGTTAATATTGAGATATTATCGAAGCGAAAAACAAGTTGTTAATTTGTTTACCATGTGAGTCATAATTGAAGTGTTCAAAAGGTTGAAGATGAACATGGGCATGGAATAGTTTTAACACTTGAATTAAGGTGGTATGTTATGAGAAAATCCTTAATTCAAGTGTTGTAATCAGTTATCACGGTGGTGTAACCGGTTACAGTCGTGGAAATAAAGTAACAAGAAAGCTTAAAACGGAAATTCTCGTTAGTGTAACCGGTTACACATTCGCAGTAATCGATTACCACTGTTATACTTTTAGTAGATGTATCAGCTGTAACCGATTACGGGTTTTGTGTAATCGGTTACAGGTCTAAGAATTTAAATTTTTGTTATTTTGATTATGTAAATTGTGTCCCAATCTACTTGTAAACATTTATATACCTTTGAGGTATTGTTTTCAATGTTAATGAGAATTTTCACCCTTAATTTCTCTTTCCATCTCCATACTGAATTTCTCCATTATTCACTAATTTTGTGGTTCCAAGTTCTAAAAGTATGCACGGAGAAAAGTAATTTATATGAACTTTTTAAACACTTGCATAACTCATAAAAGTGTTATATTGTTGCAACTGTGTTACTAATATGTAAAGTTGCTTGTTATTTCTTCTTCAGCTTAGACTATCATAAGATGTCTCACGATAAAGACTTTTTTTCTTTGTTTTTTAATAATTTAGCAAAAATTATTGATCCAGCAAAATAATTCTAAAACATATTGTTCATGTAAAAAAAATTAGTAGAATGTGTTGCGGAGGTTAATAACCCCGCTAAATAATTGAAAAAATATATATTATTTTTTATCACTTTATTTTTCAATGTTAGAGAATATGGCATTTTTTCGTAATAAAAAGATAAGAGAATTTGTTGTTTTTTATAATACAGAAAAGTAAACACGTTTGACTACGTACAAGTATTGGCATCCTGTATGAATGACGGTGATAGGTTCACATTTTATCAGTCATTTTGTTTGTACATGTAAATGTCCCATTTTTGTAAATTCCCCATTGCTTATTTTTTATGTTTTAAAAAAATTAAATCCCTTGAATAAACATAAAAACATCACTGATTTTCCGTAATATTCTTAAGAGAAAAAACAGCATTTATATTTGACATTTTTAAAATTAAAAATAAATATATTATTTAGATTTTCACATTAATATTTTAAAATAATTAATTATTTTCAATTTTTTAAAAAAATTACTTATTTACTTCACTTTTAGCGTTTTTGTTTCACTATATATATATATATATATATATATATATATATATATATATATATATATATATATATATATATATATATATATATATATATATATATATATATATATATATATATATATATATATATATATATATATATATATATATATATATATATATATATATATATATATATATATATATATTATTCATACCTTTTAAATAAAAAACTATTTAAAAAAATATAAATCGACTTCTTTTTTAATGGTGATTTTTTCATATTGAAATAATTTTGCTTATTGGATATTGGTATCCAACAAAACACAAAATATTAAAGACTTTTCCTAAGAAAGTTGTATATATAGATGCTCCAATACATCAATAAACTTAGCAACATTCATAGAGTTGCAAGCATTTCCTTCAAACCCAACACATTCATACACTTTAGATAGCTAGATACATAAGCATCAGAATAAGGCAAATTAACAAAACCCAAATGGATTCACTTCTAAAACTTCCAACCATCGACAACTTTAAGGAAGAACCGTTCTTTATGGCAATCATCTTCATCGTACCACTAATAGTTTTGTTGGGTTTAGTGTCACGAATCCTCAAAAAATCAACATATCCACCAGGACCAAAAGGGTTACCTTTTATAGGTAACATGTTAATGATGGACCAACTAACCCACCGCGGTTTAGCAAACTTAGCTAAAAAATATGGTGGCATCTTCCACCTACGCATGGGATTCCTCCATATGGTGGCTATTTCCGACGCCGACGCCGCCCGTCAAGTTCTCCAAGTTCAAGACAACATCTTTTCCAACCGTCCTGCAACAGTTGCCATAAAATACCTAACTTACGACCGTGCTGACATGGCATTCGCTCACTACGGTCCCTTTTGGCGTCAAATGCGAAAACTCTGCGTGATAAAGCTTTTCAGTCGTAAACACGCAGAGTCTTGGCAATCCGTCAGAGACGAGGTTGACTATGCTGTCAGAATTGTTTCTGAAAACATAGGCAAACCTGTAAATATCGGAGAACTAGTGTTCAACTTAACCAAAAATATTATCTATCGAGCGGCTTTCGGGTCGAGTTCGAGAGAAGGACAAGATGAGTTTATTGGAATATTACAAGAGTTTTCCAAATTGTTTGGAGCTTTTAATATTTCAGACTTTGTACCTTGTTTAGGAGCTATTGATCCTCAAGGGCTTAATGCAAGACTTGTAAAAGCTCGTAAAGATTTGGATAGTTTCATAGACAAAATCATAGATGAACATGTGGAGAAGAAGAGAGAGGTTGGTGATGAAGAAACTGATATGGTGGATGAGTTGCTTGCTTTCTATAGTGAAGAAGCTAAAGTGAATAATGAATCAGATGATTTGCAGAGTTCCATCAAACTTACAAAGGATAACATTAAAGCTATTATCATGGTAAGTGTTCACTTTCAATTGTTGAATATTTATGATTTTCTTGAAGTATAAAAACTTTTGTTTGTTTCATTTTTTGACAAAGAAAATAGTACTAGTCGTAATGGATGACAAGTTTTGGAGTATTGGCCCCAGGTAATTAAGGCACCTTGGGTCTCTCTCACAAGCCAGAAAATACTACTGAACAAAATGTGACAACTCCCAACCTTAAAGATTTGAAAGGGTATTATTTGAAAAATATTATATAGAAATAGAAGACAAATGTAGAAAAAATTAAGTCGTTATTCTTTTCAAACTTAAAATGATTCATTTTTATATATGTGGAGTGATCAACCGTTATCCTTTAAATATTTATTTTTGCGTATATATTAATGTAGTTATTACATTTTTATATAAAAAATTTATTAGTCTCTCAAATTAATCGATACTAAAATTGAATAATAAAAAGATATTTTATTTTTAAAATGTAAATTATAAAATTTATTTATTAAGATGTTAGCTCTAAAACCATATCCATAAATTTATTATTATCTTTTCTATTATGATAGATCAAATTCAAATTCAAATTCGAAATTTGGCATAAAATATCTTTATGGTTAAATTATTAGGTTGCAACAAGAGATATAATTTCTTTTATTTAAAATTTAAAACCGTTGATAAATATTTATAATATTTTTATTTAATTATGGTTTTGCATATTTCATCAAAATTAAAATATACCAATTTTATAATTTTATTTCTTTTCGTATTAAAATTCAAAACACAAATACACAAATATATAAAATACTTACTTATTATACAAATATATACTTATTAATGCAATGTATCAAATGAATTTTGATACATACAGTACTTATTATTTAAGTATATATTTATATAATATGTAACTACTTTATGTATTTGTGTTTTAACAATACAAAAAAAATAATTATAAAATTGATATATTTTAATTTTGATGAAATATGCAAAATTATTAATTAAATAAAAATATTATAAATACTTATCAATGGTTTTAAATTTTAAATAAAAAAAGTTATATCTCTTGCTGCAATCTAATAATTTAATCATAAAGATATAATATATATATATATATATATATATATATATATATATATATATATATATATATATATATATATATATATATATATATATATATATATATATATATATATATATATATATATATATATATATATATATATATATATATATATATATATATATATATATATATATATATATATATATATATATATATATATATATATATATATATATATATATATATATATATATATATTTCAAAAAAATTTAAAATTTAAATTAAATACTTTTTCATATTGATTAAGTATATGAATAAAACCTATAAGTATAGCATGTGATGTGAATGTTTTTTGGTTTGGGTATGAAAACAAAAGCCACCAAAGATGTAGTGACATTGCAATACCATTTTCAATTGGTTTGGGTTGGTGCGTCTTTCTCCATCCACGTCCGCATTTTCTTATTTTACACTCAAAATTAGAATAATTTCATTGCCAACAAAACCCAACACTAGATTTTTCTTTTTTTGTTGCAATGTGATATAATAAATAAACTAATAAATTGTCGTTTTCGTTACAGGATGTGATGTTTGGAGGAACGGAAACGGTAGCATCAGCAATTGAATGGGCCATGGCTGAGTTAATGAAAAGCCCAGAAGATCTAAAAAAAGTCCAACATGAGTTAACTGAAGTTGTGGGCCTGGACCGTCGGATTGAAGAGTCCGACTTTGAGAAACTTACTTATTTAAAATGTGTTGTTAAGGAAACCCTACGCCTTCATCCGCCAATCCCGTTGCTCCTTCACGAAACTTCAGAAGATGCAACGGTTAATGGCTATTTTATTCCAAAACGTGCACGCGTGATGGTTAACGCGTGGGCGATTGGGAGAGATAAGAGTTGTTGGAAGGAACCTGAAAGTTTTAAGCCGTCACGATTTTTGAAATCGAGTATGCCTGATTTTAAAGGGAGTAATTTTGAGTTTATTCCATTTGGATCAGGTCGTAGATCTTGCCCTGGGATGCAGTTAGGATTGTACGCGCTTGATTTGGCAGTGGCTCATCTTCTTCATTGCTTTACATGGGAGCTACCAGATGGAATGAAACCAAATGAAATGGATATGAGTGATGTGTTTGGACTCACCGCTCCTAGAGCAACTCGACTTGTTGCAATTCCTACTAAACGTCTCTTGTGCCCTCTGGATTAGAAAGAAGAATAAAAAAAACAAGTGATTCCTTTTTCGATTTTCTTTCTTTTTTATTTGAGTTTGCTTAATACTATTCAACTAAAAAATAAAAATAAGTACTATATAAAAATAAAATAAAAAATGAGAGATTTATAAGAATTGGATTCGAATCCAATCCAAAACAAATGAATCTTTTGAGAAGAGGGTAAGAAAATGAAAGTGTAAAATATGAGATTTTTCTTGGCTCTTCTCTTTGTTGTAAGCTTTTATTTTTCAAATATAGTATATCATGTATTATTCTATGACACAATTACTTGTAAATTTTGTTCTTAGATTATTTTCAAATATATCACACTTTTGTTTCTCATCTATTATTCAACTTTGCATGTGTTTATGAATTATCTCAATTGAATAATATAATAGTGAAATCTAAACCATGGAATAGTTTGTAATATGTGTTCAGTACACCCATAGATCTTGTATTACTTAAAAATTTGAGATTAAGAATAATATATAAACAATATTGTAGGCTTGAACATTAAACAATACCTTATACATATAATATTGTAGGCTTGAACTTAAATTTAAGGGGTATTTATAAATAGTAGTAATATTATAAAATCCAACAAGACATCTTTTATTAATGACAAAACTGTAAAGGAGATCCAAAGCAAACAATACCTAAGGAATATATAGGTGTGGACTTGAGATAAGAACAATATTAAAATGGAAGAAGTTTATTTAGGTATGATTAAGTAATTGGGATGAAGTGGTTAATGAACGCTAATTAAAGATTAAGGATTGATGATTCAAGAAAATTGAATTTGAATTTTGACTAGAATAATATTTAATTATATTTTACTTACATCTCGATCAAGCTTTAAATTATCATAATTTTTTCTTTCATTTAAAAATCAAAGGGATAAAGACCCAAAAGAAAGACATTAAGGTGCAAAGAATTTGTCTAATCAAAGTTTAGAATTAAATTAGAGAGAGTATAGCATGTTTGGATTTTTTCCATTACTTATATATAACCTAATTGTTACTTCTATTATTTTGTGATGTTATTTATATTACTTATATGTAACAATATATTCTTGCATTACTTATATGTAATCATAAATCATGTTATTTATATTATTAAAATTTTAGATTTTTTTCTTTTTTCTTGTGATTTTATTATCTCTAACATGGTATTTAGAGTTTGTTTTGATTTTATTTGAATTATTTGTCGTTTAACATGGTATTTAGAGTTTGTTTTGATCTTATTTGAATTATTTGTCGTTTTCTTTATTGAGTTTTCAAAAGTTTGTAAACACTATGCCAAAAAAGACCTTTAGCAGCGCTTTTTTTGACCTTTAGCAGCGCTTTAAAGCGCTGCCTAAATTGGCGCTGCTAAAGGTAAAGGCAGCGCTTTTTTTGTGGAAAAAGCGCTGCTAAAGACATCACCTTTAGCAGCGCTTTTTTACCCCTTTAGCAGCGCTTTTTAAAGCGCTGCCTAATCTCCCCCCCCCCCCTCCCCCCCTTTAGCAGCGCTTTATTAAAGCGCTGTCTTAGACCCCCCCTATAGCAGCGCTTTATGAAAGCGCTGTCTTAGACCCCTCTTTCCCCACCTATAACAGCGCTTTCTTAACAGTTTCTCTGTCCCCTTTAGCAGCGCTTACACATAAAAGCGCTGTCTAATGTGCACGTTTTGGAAAAAAAAATTCCTGATTAATGGCATTTTTTATATATTTTTCAATAAACCTGCTTATATTACAATACCTGCTTATATAATTTAGCCCTTTATTTCAGCACTTTGCCTTTATATACACAATTCAACACTTTGGCATTATGTGCACAATTCAACACTTTGGCATTATATGCACAATTCAACATCACAAATTATATACAATTCCACTTAAATATATATAATTCAAAAGCTTCACAATTCAACATCACAAATTATATACAATTCCACTTTAATATATATAATTCAAAAGCTTCACAATTCAACATCACAAATTATATACAATTCTCAACTCGAAATTCAACATCACAAATTATACAATTCTACTTTAATTTCTTCCAATCTTCATTGTTGGCCATAATATACCTGTAATTCAGGAAAACTAAAGTATCAAATGAATGACATTTAAATATGTAAATAAGAAATATATATATATATATATATATATATATATATATATATATATATATATATATATATATATATATATATATATATATATATATATATATATATATATATATATATATATATATATACACATACACATAAGAAACGTATAAATAAGAAATAATATGTTATTTTATTGAATGAGACAATATGTAATTTTACAAGTACCTTTAACATCTTTTTCTTTTTTTAGTTCGAAGGTGCTTTACTTGTCTCTTAACAACACGGACGGATGGATTGATCCAAATTCCCTCGCTATGATCATTTCTAATATATGATTCGTCTGCTATAATATTCTCATCTGGATCATCCCTAACATAAGATTCATTCTCAACATCAACCTCCCCCTTTTCTCCAATGTTATCGTTGATTACTTTGTTGGAAAAAAGAACTATAGACCATTTCGTACTTTTCGGATCAGTGACATAGAACACTTGTTTAGCTTGCGTGGCTAGAATAAAAGGCTCATCTTTGTACCCCACCTTATTAAGATCCACTTGCAAAAAACCTGACTTATCCATACGTATGCCACTATTACTTTCAACCCACTTGCATCCAAAGATAGGAATCTGAAACTTCTCATAATCAAACACCCAAATGCGCTCGATTACCCCAAAATACGAGGAAATGTGCATTGATTCGGCAAGCACAGTGACACCACTATTTTGCATTGTACTTTTATCATCTTGCTCCTTGGTATAAAATGTGTATCCATTAATTGCGTATGCGCTATAAGAAAACACATGCAAAGTTGGACCATATGCTAAACATCTCAACCTTTCTGTTATTGAAGCGGGATCAGAATAAAACTTTGAATAAATATGCTCTTTGAACCATGTTATAAAACTTCGATTGTGCTCACGTACTATCCAATTTTCATTTCTATTCAGATTTAAACCTCGGAGAACGTCCTTGTGCAATTTAACGTACTGCTCAACCTCAATGTCATTGTGCAGAACATATAAATGCACTTGCTCCCGTTCATCCCTTGAAACTGTCACAACTTTATTTCCAATTAACTGTTTACCTACTACTTTTTCAACAACATCAGATTTTGGGAGGCCAATGGATTGAACGTTGGACAAATATTCAGTACAAAACTCAATAGCTTCTTCAACAATGTATCGTTCAACAATACATCCCTCTGGTCGACTTCGGTTTTTCACATACCCTTTCAATATTTTCATATAACGTTCAACTGGATACATCCATCTCATATATGCAGGTCCACACAGTTGTGTCTCTTTCACGAGATGCACAACTAGATGTACCATTATGTCAAAGAATGACGGAGGAAAATACATTTCAAGCTCACACAAAGTAATAATTATATCTTTTTGCAATGTTGGTAAGATCGCAGGATCGATCACCTTACTACAAATAGATCTGAAAAAGAAACACAATTTTGTTATTGCGCCTCTCACTTTTTCTGGCAAAATAGAACGTATACCTATTGGTAGAAAGTGTTCCATAAGAACATGGCAATCATGTGTCTTTAAACTCTTTAACTTTAGGTCTTTCATAGAAACAAGTCTTCTAATATCTGAAGAGTATCCTTCTGGAACTTTAACTTCACTAAGAAACTTACACATTATCTTTTTCTCCTTTCTAGACAAAGTATATGCAGCAGGTGGTAGATAAGTGCGATTTCCTTTCTTCTGGGGTCCTAATTCATTTCTTATTCCCATTGCTACCAAGTCTTTTCTTGCTTTAAGGCCATCCTTAGACTTTCCTTGTATATTGAGTAACGTACCAATAACACTTTCAAATACATTTTTTTCAATATGCATAACATCAAGAAAATGTCGTACATACAACGACTTCCAATACGGCAACTCAAACAAAATTGACCTCTTCTTCCACCCACGCGTGGTAAGCGTATGAGCAAAAGGCTTGCCAAACTGAGTACTCACATCTTTCACCTTTGCAAAAATTTGATCGTCGGTCAATGTAGGTGGTGCTGATGATTAGAACTTAAGAATCTACGATGACCAAGAAAGACATTCTTCTGACCAAATTCCAACCGCGTCCAATCTGTGTTTTCTTCACAGATAGGACACGCACATTGACCTTTAATGCTATACCCCGATAGATTTCCGTATGCTGGGAAATCATTAATTGTGCCAAACAACATGGCCCTCAAATTAAAACTTTCTTTCCTATATCCATCATAAACCTCCACACCGTTCTCCCACAAACTTTTTAAGTCTTCGATTAAAGGTGTCAGGTATACGTCTATGTCGTTTCCTGGTTGTTTAGGGCCAGAAATTAACATAGATAACATCATGTACTTACGCTTCATACATAGCCATGGAGGTAGGTTATAAATCATAAGAATTACAGGCCAGGTGGAATGGGAGATACTTTGCAGACCGTGCGGATTCATTCCATCAGTCGATAATGCCAAGCGAAGGTTTCTAGCTTCTTCTCCAAAATCAGGATAATCATTATCAATTTTCATCCACTGTGGTGAATCTGCCGGATGTCGATACTTCCCATCTATAATTCTATCATCTGCATGCCAAGTAAGGTGTTTCGCATCTGTTTCACTACGAAACATGCGTCTGAATCTCGGAATTATAGGAAAATACCATAAGACTTTTGCTGGTGACAACTTCTTCTTATACCGAGATACACCGCATTTAGGACACTCGTTTAATGATGCATACTCATTTCGAAACAAAATGCAATCATTTGGACAAGCATGTATCTTATCATAGCTCATACCAATAGAGCATAACATTTTTTTAGCTTCATAGGTTCGATTGGGAAGAACATTATCCTCCGGAAGCATCTCTTGAAGTATGGCTAACAACTCTGTGAAACTTTTATCCGACCATCC